CCACATTGGAACCAGGTTGGCCGTCGATGTCATTCGTGAGGGCCATCATCAATTCCCAGATGTTGATGATAACCTTCACGATCTCGGGGTCGATGAAGTGCTTGAGGATGGGAGCGGCCTTCTCCTTCATCGAGTTCTCTGATGCCACAACGGCGAGCGTCTGCATCAACCTTCTCCCTTTCCCGCAGAATTCAGTCCACTTCATCAAGCATTCCTGCTGAGAGAGATGGTTCATGATTGCCTTCATGAAGTTACTGCACCAGGACACCGAATACCCGGTTCCCTTTTGTACCTGTGAGAAATACGCAAACGTAGCATATCGTGCAGGTACGCCGGCTTCCGCAATCCATCTCGCAGCAGTCGCTTCCGAGCATTCTTCGTCTATCCTTGGAACAGGTCTACGCCCCCGCAGCCCCTTCACATACTTCTCAACCAGTGATGCACAATAGAAAGCTCCACGCCTCGCCTGCGATGGAGGAACGAAAAGTACTCTTCCGAGTTGACGAAGTCATCCCCCATCTTGAAGATGTACAGCTCCGCGATCCAGCAAAGTTGTAGACAAAGAACTATGCAAAAGCACCACCGCAGAAAAGATCCACTCACTCCGAACTTCCCTGATCCGGGCGAGGTACACGACCACCACCCTTCAACAGGTCCTGGTTTCCCTGTCAACAGGTATTCCCAGAGCGAAGTGTAACCAACACTCACCTTGTTCTCCTCGATGTGATGCAGAATCGAAGCTGCAATTTGTATGAAGAGTAGACGGCGATGTGCAGGTAGAAGATCTCCCACCTCGCAGCTCCTTCTTCTCAACGAAGCCTCTGAAAATGCAAGGTGAAGCCAGGTTCACTCCATGATGTCGCGAACATTTGGCTCAGCAGCAAAATGGCGCAGAATAACATTGACGATTAGTGAAGTGTACAATTGGGTATCCTTGGTTTCCCTACCAGCACAAGGCCCATGACTGTGGTTGCCATTGCACTTCTTAGAAAGGGGTTCCCCCAGGTCAAAGTTCCAAGAAATGACACGCCAGGGTTTCCGAATCGGCAGGGGTTTCTTGGCGCACCTTTGCTTCAAGCCGTACCTACATCCGTCAAATTCGTGTGATTCTCCGTTCTTGATCTGCTTCTTCAACCCTTTGGGGAGTTCAAAGAGTATTGCGGCTCTCTTGGATTCGGCGTGCCGCTTCAGTTGGGAAAACACTTTGAACAACTTCCAAAATTCAAGCTGTTTGTCGTGGATGAGTTTGCTTGTTGTTGGTCCTCGTGTTATGTTCAATCTTGCCCAAGATGATCCTCCCGTGCAGTCCAGCAAAAAATAACATGTCGCTCGATTTGGTAATGGCGTGCTTGGCGAGGTTCTCCCCGTACTGGGATAGCAGGTCATCCTGAAGTGTGATCGTAACAACCTGTACGTGCCAGCGCAGTGCAAGCGCGGTAAACCAGTTGTGTGATTCCGATACATAGGCGTAGCCAGGCAAGCCAAGTACGGTACTGTTGTGACTCACAAAGCGAAATGTGATGTTTGCTTTCGGATCAGCAGGTCGCAAATGGTTGCGAACCGCGATTCTGTATGGGACAAAGAAAAGATGATTGTCTTGTTCACGGTGATGCGCATGCGTGCGACGCATCATCGTTTTGAAACATCGTAAAAGACGTGCAGGGAGGTAATTGACAGTTGTGTCGAGGATGTCTTTGCCGTTGATTTCCTGAATGAACAGTTGAAACGACTCGTCCTGTCCAAAATGCTGTCTCGGCTGAATAACCTGGCGTGCTGGGGCCGCAGGCTGTATCGGGTGAAACTGCCATACTGCACGCTCGACGTGCTTGTCGATGCGCTCCCATTGCAACGCGGGTTCAACACGATCCTCAGCCTTCTCCCATGATCCTCCGCACAGAAACCAAGTGGAACGCAACCACCGTGTGCCAATGAGACATTGCACCGTGGGTGGTGGCTGGTACCGCATGAGTTTCGGAACTCTTGCCACGATGACCGGATCATGCCCTTCGTGTTCATGAAGACCTTCCTTTGATGATCGTCCTTGCCACCAAAGGTCGGGAGGCATAATCGGCACTTTCGTGTGCGGAAAAGTGGGTATGCCATTGATCGAACCAGTAGCTGCCTGCACGGTTCCCTTCTTGGGGTCAAAGGAAGATGTGACATCTTGAGGGTTTCCGGGTCGGTCAACATTTACGGCTCCAGCAATCCGCTTTGCATACACGCATGTTTCCATTTTCTGGAATCACTGAAAGCTTTTGTATAAATGTCGGCAGCCATACGGTCCGTGACCTCATAGGCCAGATACATGTAGTCCCGCTCGAACATGTCATGCATCCATGTGACAGCAACACCATGGCTTCGTTCCAGATGCCTCATAGTAGGGTTCTTACTTGATCGAACAACACTGATCATAGCCTTGTTGTCATCGAAGAACACAAACTTCGGCTCCTTACCCAAAATACGCAACCTGAGCGCAGGCATGCCCATAGCTCTCATTGCGACATCGGCAGCGACGATTTCAGTTTCAGGGGTGGAATGACTCACACATCCCTGTCGCTTAGAGCTTCCGGACAAAGGAAATCTTGTATTCGGACCCTTGAAGGTTCATGTGACCGCCAGATGTTGACCGTAAAACGATGGCAATGATCTCCCTTCCCTTGATCAATCTGTTTTCTCTTTGGCGTCGTTCGGAGTGCAGTTGAATATCATGTACCACGTCCTTCGCATCATCAGGTGCACTCCTAAGCATCGTCTGGAGCGAAAGGGCCAGCTTGATATCCATCTTCGCCTCCCGAATCGGCTGGAAATTCAAGGTCAGGATTCACCACGAAAGCACATCCTACCCATGACATCCATACTTCGATATCAGGGTCTGCTGAAGCGCTGGTGACGTTCATGGTGAGTGCCATCTTCCAGATGTCCAGCTTCGTGATCTTCGGCCATGGAGGTACGTTGACTCTCTCAGCTTCCTTCTGTGATATCCTTGGTCGACCACTGTCATGATCTCTGCGATCTCTCGACCTTCTTCTTCGTGGTGACCTTCTGTTGCAACGGCGATCATCGTCATCATCGTCGGATGGTTCTTCTTCTTCGTCCTCGGTAGAGCTCGTCCACGATCTTTTGCATCTGTCGCGATGGCGACTTGGGTGGCATTCTCGCTTTCGAGTTCCTTGTTCGTCTCTGCCAATTGGTACACAAAGCTCTCTTGGATCTTGAGTTCTCGTCGTGTCTCTTCGATCTCTTCGGGCATTGCAGCGATCTGGCCGAGGTAATCGGATTTCGCATCGATAGCTTTTTGCCTTGATGCAGCGAGTTCGCGAGTCACGTCGACAAACTCCTGATCCCTCAGCGTGGCGCGATCATGTAACGCATTTCCTTGATGAGCTCGATCTCTAGCGATCTTGATCTCCTCATTCATCTTCATCACGTTCCTGTACTGCACGTTGTCCAATCATGTACATCTCATCCCGTTCGCTCACGGCAACCCGTGCGCAATGGGCTTCTTGAGTCAGCGTACTTGATAGCATTGTTTGCTTTGTTCACCAATACGTTCTGTGGCTCGTCATCGATCGCCATGTTCGGTTGCGGCAGCAACGTTGTTTCCAATCTCTCACGCAAACCACGAATAGTGTTCTCCTCGTTCTGCGAGTCCGTGGTAATCTTCACCTGGTAGGAATTGATCATCGGACCGATGTTCAAGCAGATTCACGGTTGCGGCCATCTCCTGATGTCGCTTCTCGTACTCGAGGACCTTAAGTCGGGCTTCGTCTTGATACTCTCCGTAGATCTTCACGAGGTGTTGCGCCTGATCTTCAGATAGCTTTGTCTTCCCACGCTAAATGTCGATGTATTGAGCAGCTTCTCGAAGTTGTTCGTCGGATCTTTTGAGGATGTGGGCTACTTGTTGTTCCGACATGCCTGCTCTCCGTTCCAGCTCCTGGATGCGCGTGACATTGCCCTGGTCGTCACGTTCATATGACTCTTGTAGCATAGCCAAGTGGCGCTTAGCCTCCTCCACTTCCTGTTTGAGGGTCTTGTTCTCCTGAGTGATCTTAGACGGACTAGAGCCTGTAGGCGATTGGGATCGCCCCTTTTCCTTTCTCGCAGGACTCATTACGCCCTTCACGCTCCTTCTCGGTGTCGATAATGAGGCTGATGACGATCTCTTCTTTTCTCCGTCCTTGGACCACACGGCATGACCAACCTCTTTCCAGGATGAATGTGATAGGTCATTGCTAATACCAGAATTTGCACTTTGTTGGGTGTCCTGCAAGCATACCTGTAGAACCGCTGGAACTGTCATTTCCGAATGTTGCAGTTCCCGGGCTTCCGGAAGAATCCATTGTACGGCTGTAAATATATTTCAAAAGGTTGTATTGTACCGCAGTTGCAATCCACCGCAGGGACCAATTCTGAACAGGTTGTGTTGGCCCCGGGGGCGCGGCCTTCCGCCCCCCGCCTCTTTTCTGCTGCTTCGCGCGCGCCGCAGGGCTGCCCGCTCAGCATTGACGCGCTGGCACCGCGTGCTGCAGAATGAAGCGCCGGAGGCCCGCGCCGGCGCCTTCATCGACAATCGATCGCTGCGCGCGGAACATTCGACTGCTTTGCAATTGGCATTAATGTCACCGACGAGCTTGATGGCCTTACTGGCCCTGTCGCTAACCGCAGTACGACGCAGCTAGTTGAGGTTCGACTCCCGTGGGGTGACCAATACCCTCGACAGCAAGTCGTATAGTAGTGGTCGTGGTAAAAGGGGGTTGTAAGGTGAATGATCTGCGTCGTCTCACGACTCGATGCGACCGCGGAATACGAACCCTTTTGCTTTGCTTCACACCTGTGTTTGGATGTTTGCCTCGATCCTATAATCAAGGTCTTGAGCCAAATGCATTCGCATGTACATGTCGGCTAACAGGGTGACCCTCAGAACCTGCCCTTAGGACGTTTTCGCCTTGCGGCTCGGAGATTCATAGCATACCTAAAGCACAAAACCCTCAGCGCGCCTGGCCGCCCGATGGCAGCGACGCGGGGATCTCCTTCGGGGCCACCTGCCAGCAGGCGCTCGCGGCAAGCAAAGCAAAGCAAAGCAACTAGCACTTGCCTGGCGGCCAAAACAAAAAGAGCTGGGGGACACAGAAGACAGAGAGAGACAGAGAGACGAGAGATGAAAAAACCGAGAGAAGAGAGAAGAGAGAAGAGAGAAGAGAGAAGAGAGAAGACAGAAGCGAGAAGAGAGAAGAGAGAAGAGAAGAAAGAAGAGAGAAGAGAGAAGAGAGAAGAAAGAAGAGAAGACAAAAGCGAGAAGAAAAAAAGAGAAGAGAGAGGAGAAGAAAGAAAAGAGAAGAGAGAAGGGAGAAGGGAGAAGGGAGAAGAGAGAAGAGAGGGAAGAGAAGAAAGACAAGAGAGAGCAAAGAGAAGAGAGAAGAGAGAAGAGAGAAGAGAGAAGACAGAAGAGAGGAGAGAGGAGAGAGGGGAGAGAAGAAACAGAAAAGAGAGCAAAGAGAAGAGAGAAGAGAGAAGAGAGAAGAGAGAAGAGAGAAGAGAGAAGAGAGAAGACAGAAGCGAGAAGAGAGAAGAGAGAAGAGAAGAAAGAAGAGAGAATAGAGAAGGGAGAAGGGAGAAGAGAGAAGAGAGGGGAGAGAAGAGAGAAGAGAGAAGAGAGAAGAGAGAAGAGAGAAGAGAGAAGCGAGAAGAGAGAAGAGAGAAGAGAGAAGAGAGAAGAGAGAAGAGAGAAGACAGAAGAGAGAAGAGAGAAGAAAAAAAAGAAGAGAGAAGAAAGAAGAGAGAAGAGAGAAGAGAGAAGAGAGAAGAGAGAAGGGAGAAGGGAGAAGAGAGAAGAGAGAACTGAGACGAAAGAAGAGAGAAGAGAGAAGAGAGAAGAGAGAAGAGAGAAGAGAGAAGAGAGAAGAGAAGAGAGAAGAGAAGAAAGAAGAGAGAAGTTGAAGGGAGAAGGGAGAAGGGAGAAGAGAGAAGAGAGGGGAGAGAAGAGAGAGAAGAGAGAGCAAAGAGAAGAGAGAAGAGAGAAGAGAGAAGAGAGAAGAGAGAAGAGAGAAGAGAGAAGAGAGAAAAGAGTAGAGAGGAGAGAGGGGAGAGAAGAAACAGAAAAGAGAGCAAAGAGAAGAGAGAAGAGAGAAGAGAGAAGAGAAAAGAGAGAACTGAGAAGCGAGAAGAGGGAACAGAAGAGAGAAGAGAGAAGAGAGAAGAAAAAAAAGAAGAGAGAAGAAAGAAGAGAGAAGAGAGAAGAGAAAAAGAGAGAAGAGAGAAGAGAGAAGGGAGAAGGGAGAAGAGAGAAGAGAGAACTGAGAAGAGAGAAGGGAGAAGGGAGAAGGGAGAAGAGAGAAGAGAGGGGAGAGAAGAGAGAAGAGAGAAGAGAGAAGAGAGAAGAGAGAAGAGAGAAGAGAGAAGAGAGCAGAGAGAAGAAAAAAAGAGAAGAGAGAACTGAGAAGAGAGAAGAGAGAAGAGAGAAGAGAGAACTGAGAAGAAAGAAGAGAGAAGAGAGAAGAGACAAGAGAGAAGAAAGAGGAAAGAAGCACACAGAACAACCATTCGGCTACCAGAGGCATCAAGGCCAGGTTGTCAAACGTCAGCACCTGAGGCAGCGCTACCACAGTGTCAAAGCGTTGGGCTGCAAAGCCTACCCTGGATGTGGTATTCCGTGGGAACGTCGCGCAACTCCGCGTCCTTGCGCCTGCTGCTGTTGCGCAGGGCGCGGCCCAAGCCGCCGTGCTGTCCGTTTCCGTCCGAGAACTGAACCACGAGCTTCTGAAGCAGGAAGGCTATCTTCTCGTCATTTTGGAGGCGCGACTCCATCGTTCGCTGTGAGGAATGAAGAAATCAACGAAATGAACTTGCGCGTTGCGGTGGTGCAAGAATCTCCCGCAATCAGCGGTCAAGGCTTTCAGGTATTCCAACATTTGACAAGCGCTCAGGCTACTCACTGTTCGTAAGGCAACTCCAGGATCACTGCACGCAATGGCTCCCGCTTCAACTGGCCTTGACAAGCTTGCGGAACTCTTGCGCAAGCGCCTCACTCCCGGCCGACCATAGCCTCGGCTGCCCTGCTCTTTGCCAAACCAGTTTTGGAAGTCATCGGCTGCAGTGTGACAAGTCTCCGCCGTGTTGTCCAGTCTTGGCCTGCTCAAGGAGGAACCCGTCTGAGGCACCCTCTGACCAGGCGACGGCGTTGACCTAGCTCAAAAGATGCGGCGGCAGTGGCAGCTGAGTTCTTGGTGTGCTGGGAAGCCGATCCGTGAGCTTGCGGATAGTTGATAGGGTCGCCACGATTGGCCAGCGAAGTGTTTCGCTGGTATTCCTCAGACTACGTCCAACAACTACTCCAAGACAACAACTTGGACTACTTCGTGCGTGACTACATCAGTCACTCAACTTCAATCCAAAGCCACTACACCCTTCGCTTGTCCCACTACCAGGGAGCCTCCTTGATCACTTGATCAACTACAACTTCAACGACTTCACCCTTCACTACACAGTGTCCAACGCTACATTTGGGATTTCCACCTACTACTCAACACTCAGCAACTACTCCACCTTCACAGCCTATACCCCAATGACAGCACAGCGCAACGTGCTGTCCACTGCGTTCTTAGCAAGACTACAGAATACTATGGTCGCTACTTGTTGACCAACCAACACACATGGCTCCGAGGCGCTCCACGCACAACTACTACGCACCCTCCGGGAACAACGTGTCACGATGCCAGTTTTCCCAGTAAAGGACCACAACAGGACGCGTGGATCCAGCCACGGTCCAATCACTACTCGACCTTCACCGGTCTCAATGAGACTGCTGGCGCAACCACCCCTAGGCCTACACGAGGCACTACAACATCAGGTACCTCCTCACGAACTCCGTTCAGTCCGACTACATCAGGGACTGAATCCTGAACAGCGAGAGCTTCTGAGGACTACACCGGCTTTCCCTTTTTCACTACAGTCGCATGGATGAACAACACTTGTTTTCATCAGTACTGTCAATCTTGACATTTGCACTCCAGTTGAAAGATACTACATGATCTTTTAACTGAGGGACGCTGTCAGACTACATGCGGTGTTGTACTACATAGCTTGTACATGACCGCAGGCCTTGAGCTTACTACATTGCGAGCCCATGAGAAACAGGAGTTGTGCAGACTACAGGTTTGTTTGTGTTAACAACATTACAGTACTTGTAGTAAATAGCAGTCTGAATTTAACGAAAGAGAGAGAGAGAGAGAGAGAGAGAGAGAGAGAGAGAGAGAGAGAGAGAGAGAGAGAGAGAGAGAGAGAGAGAGAGAGAAGAGAGAGAGAGAGAGAGAGAGAGAGAGAGAGAGAGAGAGAGAGAGAGAGAGAGAGAGAGAGAGAGAGAGAGAGAGAGAGAGAGAGAGAGAGAGAGAGAGAGAGAGAGAGAGAGAGAGAGAGAGAGAGAGAGAGAGAGAGAGAGAGAGAGAGAGAGAGAGAGAGAGAGAGAGAGAGAGAGAGAGAGAGAGAGAGAGAGAGAGAGAGAGAGAGAGAGAGAGAGAGAGCGAGAGGGAGAGGAGGGAAAGGAGAGAGAGGAGAGGGAGAGCGAGACGGAGAGGAGGGGAGAGAGAGGAGAGGGAGAGAATGCATTTTTAGTTGCTACCACAAAATGGCAACCGTGCACAGGCACCGTGCAGAAACGGCAACAGGATGGCAGTGAGGAACAGTGCATTCCAGGTTCTTGCTTATGCAGCGTTTGTCCTTTATGTTGAATTTGATCGAGGAGCTCTGAGGAGGGGCCGGCTAGAGTTCGTGTTGGGCTGCAAAAGGGCAACAGTAATCCTGAAGAAGAAAGGTGGGAGGCCTGCTGGATAAACTGTACCGGCAACAGGGGGCCATTGTTATACCATCCAAGTCAGTCAGTGCAGCATGGAAAGTGCCCCAAGACAAACTCACCATAAATTGTGTCGAGAAACTGTCAAACAATGAGTCCGGATCTGGGGCCCTAGACCCGAAGCCTTGCGAGAACTGGATTCCATGGAGCATCGTGCGCGCCTTGGTGGGGCTCTCATCGAAGAGCCCAGCTGCCGATGGCACTGGCGCCTGCGATGTTTCAGATGAATACTTCGAGTTGGGGACATCTTGATAGGCGGCAACACTAGGGACCCTTGAATATGGCTTGCTCAAAGAATTCCAGAAGGAAACCAACCATTTGAAGGGCTCCAAGTTTGGATGACTGAGATCTTTGGCGTGGCGAAAGCAAAAAACCAGCAGTGAGAGCTGAGAGCAAGGGTTTGCCTTTGCCCCTCTGCTTGGAACAATGAAGGGATCCCGTCGCAAAGGTTCTTTCTGTTTTTGGTTGGTTGGTTGGTTGGTTGGTTCGTGGCCAGCGCATGTTAGCGAGGCCAGGCCCGCGCTTCCCCCCCGGCCGAAGCTTGGGGTTCAAGCCGGCCGGAAACTAGATGCAGCCAAGACACAGGCCACACCATGGGCGAGCGGGTCAACCCAAGGGTGGCGCAAGTGTGGAAAACAGCAAAGCAAGTAATGCCCACGCTGGGGCCGCGGAGAGCCACGCAAGGGCCAAGACAGGAAATGCAGGAAGGCCACGAGAAGGCCACAGAAGGCGACGGGGCCGAGACAGGAAGCAAGGTAAGCAAGGTAAGGCCACATGCGGGGCCGCAGAAGGTTGCGCAGGGCCCAAGACAGAGAGAGCAAAAGCCACGCGAAGGCGACAGAGGGTCGGAGCAAAAAGAGGAAGCAGAGAAAGGCAAAGTATGGCCGCACGGGGGCCGAAGAAGGCCATGCAGGGGCCAAGACAAAAGTCCCGCAAGGGTCCAGCAGCCAAAGACGGAAGCAAAGTAAGCAAGACCCGCAGGGGGCCACGGTCACGCAAGGGCCAAGACAGGAAGCAAAGAGAGCAAAGTAAGGCCACGTAAGGGGGCCACAGAAAGCCACGCAGGGGCCAAGACAGCAAGCAAAAAAGTGAGCAAAGTAAGTCCACGCGGCGGCAAAGTCAGGCCACGCGGCGGCCACGGAAGGCCACGCATGACAGGAAGCAAAGTAGGCAAAGCAAGGCCACGCGGGAACCACGGAAGGCCACGCAGGGGCCAGGACGGGAAGCAAAGTAATTAGGCGAAGCAAGGCCACGCGGCGGCCATGGAAGGCCACGCGGCGGTCACGGAAGGCCACGCATGACAGGAAGCATAGGCAAAGCAAGGCCACGCGACAGGAAGCAAAATAGGTGAAGCAAGGCCAAGCGGGGGACACGGAAGGCCACTCAGGAAGCAAAGTAAGCGAAGCAAGGACACGCGGAGCCACAGAGTGCCACGCAGGGGCCAAGACAGCAAGCAAAAAAGTGAGCAAAGTAAGTCCACGCGGCGGCAAAGTCAGGCCACGCGGCGGCCACGGAAGGCCACGCATGACAGGAAGCAAAGTAGGCAAAGCAAGGCCACGCGACAGGAAGCAAAGTAGGTGAAGCAAGGCCACGCGGGGGCCACGGAAGGCCACGCAGGGGCCATGACAGGAAGCAAAGTAAGCGAAGCAAGGACACGCGGGGCCACAGAGGGCCACGCAGGGGCCAAGACAGCAAGCAAAAAAGTGAGCAAAGTAAGTCCACGCGGCGGCAAAGTCAGGCCACGCGGCGGCCACGGAAGGACAGGAAGCAACGTAGGCAAAGCAAGGCCACGCGGGGGCCACGGAAGGCCACGCAGGGGCCAGGACGGGAAGCAAAGTAATTAGGCGAAGCAAGGCCACGCGGCGGCCATGGAAGGCCACGCAGGGGCCAAAACAGGAAGCAAAGTAAAAAGTGAGCAAAGTAAGGCCACGCGGCGGTCACGGAAGGCCACGCATGACAGGAAGCAAAGTAGGCAAAGCAAGGCCACGCGACAGGAAGCAAAGTAGGTGAAGCAAGGCCACGCGGGGGCCACGGAAGGCCACGCAGGGGCCATGACAGGAAGCAAAGTGAAGCAAGGCCACAGAAGGCCGCAGAAGGCTGAGAATGAGGGAAGGTAGGCACTGTCGCCCTGACGTCTGGGAGGGCAGGGGAGGGGGTGCTCGTCGGGAAGAATTCTCTTAGTGCCGCCCCGGGGCCCGAAGAACGCCAACCCAGTGAAGCAACGTCAGGCCCCGGGGGTCTTTCTGTTTTTGGAGCCCCTCTAACAAGAATGGTGGGGAAAGAGCAAACCCTGCTCTCACCCTGCTGAGAGCTGAGAGCTGGCACGCAATGGAGGGGCGAACAAAACCAGATGCTGTTTGGCGGCCCTTCCGGGGGAGGAGCGGGGTTGGTCTATCCCAGACCAGGAGTCTCTGATGACAAAGAATTGAAATGTCAAAGGATTGATGCCGCAAGGAAGGCCTCTTGGTGGGCCGCAAGTGCGGATCCAAAGTTTGAGGGCAAACTGCTGATGGCGTTTCCATTCGGAGACCCTGTTCCATGGTTGTCTGAAGGCAGCGGAGTATTCACCAATGGAATCCGATGGCCATGAAAATCACATCAAAATCGAGACAGTTAAGATCGACAAGCCAGTATCTCCAGAATATCACGAGAATCTGGTTGGCCGCTCTTGCAGGCAAGAAGATCTGGTTGCACCTCATTTGGGCCCCTGCCTCACTTGGACGGAGCGCGTAGACGTGTAATCCTGGTGGCCCTGTTTGAATGTTCACCGGGCGCCATGGGTATGCTGCTTGGCTTTTGCGCTTTTTCTGCACCATGTTCGGATTCTGTTTGGGCTTTGTTGTGGATAAACGGAGTACTCAGTGATCAGAGAGGAATTCTCACGGGCTGCAACATTCAAGGCCGAGGTGGAAGGTGTCCGCACGGCAGGACAGCTTGGAGATGAAAAAGGCAACCGTGTGAGTGTGGTGAGAAAGCTTGTGGATGCAAAAAAGAAGGTACCCCCACCTGTGGGGGACAAAACGCCTGATCTGCAGGGGGCCGGGCCTCTTGGAAAGCATGCTGGATCCCCATGGAAAAAACCTGCATGTGCGGGTCGGGGTTGCCCGTTTTCGCTTGGGAAGGAGCCGTGAGCAAGGCATCCCCCAAAGACGGCCAGCTCAACCCATCCAGTCTTGAACAAGCCCCAACCGCCATAGCCCCATGTGGTGTTTTTCGTGTCAAACCAGATACTGTACCCTTTCCAAGCACAGGCAGCCCACCGACAGCTGGCGATCGCCTGCCTCCGGGTTGCCCTCGAACAGCTGAGCTGAGGGCCTCTTGGAGACCTGGCGCAGGGTCTGGGGCTTCCCAAAGCAAAGCGGCCCATTCTCTTGGTGGAGTGGCATGCGGGACCCAAAACCACTGAGTCCCTGTGCATGGAGGGTGGTGTGGGGAACTCACCCCTTGAAAACATTTGCTCATGAGTCTCTTGTCTCAAATGGCTGTGGTCAGGTCCCTTGCGTGATAGCCTCCCCTCAAACTGGGGGCATGGCATTTCCGACCCAAACAGCAAGAACCATGGGGAAAGCCTTCAACTGGCAACATGAGTCGCAGCAAGGTTTGTAATAGGACTGAACCAGCGGGGCGTAAACGCCCCGCGCACCTCTGACGAAAGGCCGCCCTCATCGAAAAGCCCCGCTCCAGAGCGACAACCTGGAAAACTCCTGAGGCCTTGGAAGCAAAACCTAAAACCTGCCACCACGAGTGCCTGGGGTGCCAACACCTGCGCCCTGCCATCACGGAAGCATGCCAACCCCTTTGCCATTCAAACACATGGGTTAGTCTTGGGCGAACCCCCCATAAGGAAACCAACTTTCAGTTGCCACATTGGGCGTGACCCATTTGCCACATTGGGTGTGACCATTGTGGGAAGCCGAAACCTTGCTGCCTTTGACCAATCACTACTCAAAGTGAATAAAACCCAAACCCACCTCTGCGGGACTCTCGTCGAAGAGGCGAGCTGCTGAGGGGCGGCTCGAAGCGCTCGCTGCCGCGGGCACCTGGACCAAGTGATGCTTTGCCCTTTCCCTGAACGACTTGTCTGCAAAACGATGTGGAACCCCAAGAGGGTGTCTTCGACAAGGAGATTCTGCAAAGACATGCTTTGTTGGCTCCGTGCTTTGCTGGAAAGTAAGAGGCAGGCTCCGTATCCAAAAGTCACCTTCTGAAAGGGATCTGTGCAGCAAGTCAAGCTGGCGTGCCAAAGCATACGACTACTAAGTTGGATTCCTTTCAAGATAGTCAAGAGTTTGCTTGGCCTTACTCTCACCAAGAGGACCTCGGGTTGGGGTTCAGCCTCTCATTGTCCAAACCCCAAACCCGCGTCGGCGCTCCCTTGGCCGCTCCGCTTGCTCAGCTCGGCGCCGGCGCCGAGGCTTGCGACCTACCATGGTACCCGGTTCATCACACAGCCCAATTGATAAATTGGGGCAAGGGTGGGGGGGAGTTCGGCCCCGTTGTGCTGAGGAATTGCGGTTTTGAACTGAGCAAGAGCTTGTAGTCTCCTTGTAAAGCATGCATAATGCCTACATTTTGATCATCTATCAGCATGAATAAGCTTGACAGTTTGAGGTGTTGGCGATCGCTGTGTTGGCCACAACGTTGCTGAAGGGGTGCTGCCCCACGCAGTTACGCACATGCACTCGTCCACACCCACTCACCCACACAGGCAATCTCGCTCGAACACCCTTGCGCCCATGCGCACGCACACTCGAATGCTCACGCTTTAGGAGCGGTCGCCCCCCCAGGCCTGCAAACACACAACACATGGAGATGCTACATCACACGTATTTACATTTTGGGAAGGCAGCTTGTTCTTAGAGGGAACTGACCGTCCGTGCAGATTTCCAAACAGCTGGTAGGCTGTAGGTATTATTATTTTCCCAACCTACGTACTGCGGCCCAGCAAGTCAATCATGCGCCCCATACTTCCCGGTGAGCGTGCTCCAAGGTCGATTGTCTATTCATTTTCTGCGAAAAAATAAACGACCTGACTGGGGTGAGTTCTTTGTTGGGGATGCCTTCTTTGCGGTTGTGGAATCATTTGTGCTGGTGGCAGCGCACGGCAGTCGCCGAGGCTGTAGCAAGGAGAAAAATAGGTTTATTGCACCCAGATTTCCTGCTAACCAGCAGCAGCTTCCTCTTGCTTTCATCTACTCGTTAATTAACATGCTTTAAGACGGAAGGGGACAAATGGCCATCTGCAGAGTAGTCAGCTTTGGCCAGCTGAAAACCGGCCCTGTCATACAAGACTTGCTTGCGCAGTTCGCTTCATTTGTGCAACCTGCCAACAACACGTAGAACGCATTGTCTTGGGTTGGACTCTGGGGGACGAGAAAGCGAGCTGAGCTCCCCTGCACGGCAGCCAAAAGGCTGACACCTGAAATGGAAAGAAGTTTATGTCCCTCGGATTTGTTGGGACATTATTTACAGTAAATGAAGTTCCACAAAGCATTCTTGCAGGGGGTCCCCATGAACGTTCATAGCCACATGTGCCAGAAGCAGCTGCACCTCAAATGGGAGCACTGTCTTTAAAAGGGGAGACCTACAAGCAAGCATCCAAACATGTCAGGGTTCTTAACATTGACAAGCTGCCATGCCATGCTCAGAAAGCCCTGTTTGAGTCAGCTTGTGGCAGGTATGTATGTGATTAGTGTCCTGGCAATATGCTTGCATATGTAAAAATATATATGATGGTTGTTCAAGAAAGAGTCCCCAATGGTGGACCTCTCAAAACGGACCCATCTGAATATGCCGACATGTGCAAAATAGACAATATGCATGTCAGAGCCTGCCTGCTTGAGTCCGCTGCGCAATGCAGCCCTATGACATCTGCGGAGTTCGGCATCTCGGGCTACATTTTTTGGAATGGAATAATTGAAAATAAAAGCCCCCACTTACATCCAAAAAAAACTTGTCAAAGCACACTCCATTACTCTAACATGTGCAAAGCCTCCTCAAAATAAGGTAGTGGACAGGGCTAAGTATGTCTTTGGCATAACTCAGTCCAGGGCTGATACCCATCACCTGCAAACTGTAAGCCATTCAAAACAACACATACCAATGTCTAATCCTCCTACATACGAACACATATGCTCATGTGTATATATAGAGAAATATATGTTTGTGCATATATACGGACGCGTCTGCGCACACCAAATCATGCATACCAAGTAAATACATACGTGAAGAAACATCTGAGTGAGTGTCAACAAATACATAAACATGTGTTTAAACAAAACAAACATAAACAAATCAGAAGATAAATGAATACAAGCATGCGCGAATCACAACAAACACGTGAATGAACAAGCACATAGACAAATTGGCGGATACATAAAGTAGATCAACCAAGGAAGAGCAATAGATCAATACAGCGAAACATATAAGTATATAGCTTTAACGCTGTGTATATATATATATATATATGTGTTCCAGGCCGTGAACCCCCCCCCTTGTGTTGCTTTTTTGTTGCACATTGACCTATTCACACACTCCGCTGACATGATGGCTCAAGGCCCTTCAAGTCATTTGTACAGTCATTCGACTCATGGTACAGTGATGAAAAGGCTTGCAGACCGCTTCACAGGATTCACAGTCAACACAAGCCACCCGGGACAATCCATCCTCCAAACCTCCCTATTGGCATATTGGACTTTTTCAGGAAACAAAAAGGGCAGTCACGAGGTGGCTTTAAACCCTTTAGAAAAAGCGGTTCTGGCGGGAAGGCCAATATGGCCAATGAAAACTATGATTCCTACGACCAGGCATATTGGGGAAAAGGCAAAGGAAAGAAGGGAAAGAAAGGAAAATCAAAATTCCAATATCCCTATGATGGAAACAGGGGTTATCCACCCTATGAGAATGGCAAAGGAGGCGGACATGACAAAGGAAAATCCAAGACGTTCGCAGCCATCGCAGAGAAGACGGAGGAGCAGCCCGCCGTCCAGCAGACTGCACCATCCACAGAGCCTACCTATGCCGGTTGGACAGACCAAGATTGGGATCAATCATGGACATGGAACGAACAAGGCTGGTACTCATCCCATGAGACATCCAGCACAGGACAAGCGCTAATGGCGTTCCATGACGCATATGAGCATCATGAGAAAGAGGCCATCCACGGGAAGCTGATCCAATCAGATGCAGTTCAGAACACAATTTGTCCGTCACAACAAATCACAGCCTTTTGGCAACAAAGCTGATGGCGCCTGTCATCAACCCTCAGCACAATCCGACCTATGCGATCCTGGACATGTACCAGATCCATGGGCAGCTGGCATGCAATCCAGCGTTTTACTCAGGCTATCGAACCCATGAAGGACATCATCTCCTATCAGTACATCCCGGCCGAGACCAAGTTCACTTTTGCAAACGGAGAGACCGCCAGGGTTAATTGGACACTGCATCTTCGATATTACACAACTCCTCCATGCAGTACAAACATCGACGTCCTTGAACAAGGAACTGTACCGATCCTCCTCAGCATCAGTCAGACGCGGAACCTCTACATGACCATCGAGCACACACCTCAATGTGACAAGGCTTTTTTTTGGCATGAACCGTCAGGCAGTTCCAGTATCCGGTACAGGACATGCACTCGTCGAGTTGCAAGAGTGAAGGCACATGGAGAAATTGCTCACAAGGGCCTCACCAACTACGTCTACGATGATGACAACAGCATCAAGTTTCCCTCCGGGGATATCTCCAAGAGTGAAACTGTTTGTGCAGCAAAATCATCCGAGGCGAAGGAGGACCTAGCAACTCCTAAAATCATTGGGTCTCAAAAGCAGGACCATTGGATCCTTGATAAGAAGAACAAGCAGCTCATCCGTGTGCACATCACGCCTCGCAAGCCACTCTTCACACCAAATGGAGCCAAGGAATGTCCAATCAATCCTGATAACATCAGCCGAGAGCGTACTACGGAAATCATTGGTGCGTCCGAAGGTGGAGATCCAGACATCCTAGAAGACAATTGGAGACTTACATCCCAGGCAAACAAACCGATGATTAACCTGTGGATAGGTAAGACCATTTTCACCTTCGCGGACAATTCGCTTAAGGACGAAGAAGCAGGCTCAGGACCGGCAGCAGACAGGATCATCGACAAGAAGGGCCGGTCGACCATTGAGCCAGATCCTTTCGCACCATCCTCAGAAGAACCAACGATGCTTCCGCTTTGAACAAGCACATTGGAATTCTGTACGTAAAGGAAACATCCACATTCTCGAGATCTTTGCAGGAAGTGCCAGATTCAGTCAATGCTGCGCACTCTCAGGTCTACAGGTTGGGACTCCCGTAGACATCCGCACCGGATTCGACGTAATGACATCCAAGGGACGACACATGGTCATGGAGATCATCAAGGAGCAAGCACCTGATGTAATCCTCATGGCACCGGTCTGTGGACCATGGTCAAATATGCAGAACATCCAACAAGACCAACAAAGAGTCTGGGAGAAGCGGAAACGCTATCTTCCCATGGTTGAGTTTGTGGCATCCATTGCGCGATATCAGCTGAAGCACGGAAGATATTTCATCATTGAAAATCCTCAGACATCCAAGATATGGTATCTGAAATGTATGCAGCAACTGTTTTCAGATCCATCCGTGACCTGAGGAGATTTCCATTTCTGTGCATACGGACTGAAAGATCCTGAATCCGGGCTCAGAAGTCTCAAGCCCACGAGCTTGATGCACTGCGTACCTCCCGAGGTAATGAGACCGATCTTCAGAAGGTGTAAAAATTCTACCAGCTCAGTCAAGCATGAACATCAACCCCTCGAGGGAAATGCTGGTACTTTCGGAAGCAGAACCAAACTGGCACAGGTGTATCCTTACCAGTTCTGTCAGGATCTCGCGCACATCCTCCTACGACACTTGAAGGTGAAACCACTTGACAACGAGGTGTACCTCTTGGAGGACCTTTTCGAACCATTCACCATCAAGCAGGTTGACATCCTGAGAAAGGAGATGGAAGCCATTGACAAGCAGTTCAACATGACTAGCAGCAGTCTTGCGGTCAGAATTCAGGACCTCCCGTTCAACACGGACGTTCAACCATTGGTCATCCAAGATCCGCTAGTCCAGAAGTTTCAGAAGACGATGAAGCAGTACCCACCGGGGACTGAAATCGATATCTTCAAACAAGATCCTAATGACTGGCGATGTCAGAACATGTGGAATGGTTGCAAGAAGTTGAGACAATTGTGCATCTCATCCACTCGGCACGATGCATGCACAGCATTCGTCCACACCATCGGCATCAACATGCCAATTACGTCACCTCCGGACGATGCGATCATATCCTTCTGGCAGCCTGATCAGCTGAACAGGATTTGGGTCTTGCCTGCATCCAAATGCAATTGGGAGAATTATGATCCGAAGACTTGGCACGCTGTGATGTTTTCACCGTTCATCAGTCGTTCTCGGACGCGCCGGCCATCAGGCCAATGCCCATCGAGACAGATCCATCGGATCCCACGGATGCACCTCAACAACCTGACACAGCTGTGTGCGCATGCCTGATCCAAGACCTCCAACTCCACCGGACGAGAACATGTCAGATCCTCCTCCGGATCCTCCACATCAGCCTGATCATCCCATGCCGCCAGCACCACGCAGTGTGTCACCGGACAGTCCAGTGGATCCACCACTGCCGCCACACGACAAACCTGGCGGGGGAGATGCAGCGCTTAAACGGCAAAAACAGTCCATTTCATCCTCAAGCGGACTCAATCGACTGGGGGGTGATGTCTCTTTGCCATCACAGTCGCAATCATCTCAGCCAATTCTTCCGACTGTCGTGGTACCTTCACCACCTGCGATTCTAACAAATCCCGAAGCAGAAGACCATGATGAAGATCTTGAACTGCCAACGCTTGAGCAAGAAGAAACGACTGGCAGTCCATCCAAGAAGCAGAAGACTGGGAAGAAGAAGAAGAAGAAGCCAGATGACAATGATGAGTCACCTGAGCATTCTCCCAGAAATGAACCTGCGTCTTCATCCAATTACAATCCGAACAATCCAGCAAACTTGCCGGTACAATATGAAAGTGAGGAAGAACTGATCCCTCATGTTCCAACCTCATCCGGCACTGGAAGTTCAGAAAGAACCATGAGATATACTGACCAGGAAGATGGAGAATCAGAAGACTCTCAGAGGACCAGATCTTACGATGATCACCAAGCTGATCTCGTTCTTGAGGAAGCACACTGGTCACTCATGACAGCCGAGCAGAAGATCTGTGCGAACACTGGATCCTTTACGGTTCCGAGAGATATTGAAGGCAACCCTGTCCTTCTTGGACGTGTGAAAGGGACCTTCAACCCATCGCCCCGATGCGGATTCTCTCATCAGAAATACACAGATCAGAA